AGGTCCCACTGCCCTCTGCGGCCCAAAGTTAAAAACTGTTGTTCTTTTGAGGCCCTCAAAGGTGGCGCTCGCATAGGTTAAGAATCTCTGTGCTAGAAGACAGGACTTATGCCAGGGTAACGACGGGAATAAAGCAGATCGCTAGACCTTCCAAATTTACAGCCCCCTTTTTCCGGTCTTCATGGTCTACCAAGGACCCAGATTTGGGTCTTTGTAGGACCCAACCCCTGAATTTGTACACACCCTTAATGTTGATCAATCATTTGCAAAATTAGGTAAAAGTCATGTTTTACAAACACATTTTTTTTAATATGTATGCAAATATACTTTTCCTTCAAAGCRTTGGCTGAAAATAAAGATGCATCATGCATTAAAATGCTGTGCGTTTAATGAGAAGTAAAACATCCTGCTGCCATGTGCATGTACTTCCAAGCATGCAAACCAACACTCACATTGGATTTTGACATCATACTGAAGTCAGGAGGTCCCAYGTGAGATGTACTGGGATGTTGTGTTCTTTCCTCTTTGTGGGCATAAACAGTTTGAAAAATGCACATTAAAAAACAATCATGTTGCTATGATTTATACTGGAGGACCCTGTTTGACATCACACATTCCCCTTGCTGTACAGTAAGAGGCATCACACAAATGCAACAGGGCTTGGATTTTAACCCTTACTGCACCCCCAATCCAGTCATCAGAAGGCCAGAGGCACRTTCCTCAACCTTATTACCACTGTGATGTTAACGGTTTGTGTGAGGGTCAAGGCTCTGTTAGAGCTGGGTCAAGAGGGCCRGCTGAGTTTCCAACAGGCCCAGTTTGTGCATAAAATGTTGGTAAACTTTCTGAAGATGAGGCTTCGGATTAGATTTAATTTCTCCTTTAATCTTAATCTCCTTAAATGCAAAAAACAGGCTGAATGTTTTAAACCTTGTCTTCAGTAGAGACGACACTGTTCAGTCCGACTGAAATGCAACCACAGTTTGTTTCAGCTCACTGTTTGTAGCAGAAAGCTGTGATGTTGGCACAGTGAAAGTGTGTGTCGGTGTTTACTGTGGAGGCTTGTTACCAGTATGACTGATGTTTGATAGTAAGAGCAGACGCCTTGTTGACTCACACTGTGGCATTTTTTGATGGGGGCACAGATCGTCTTCTCGGGAACTCCTGGCTGCCAAATACAGACCCGCAGATGGCATACTGAGATGAATGTGTGTTGCTGAGGGTCAGGCACAGTGCTCACAAGTCTCATGCATTAATCGTGAGACACGTGCATTTCAAGACGTGCACAYGCCACGCTTTGCATATCTCACATTAAAACACATGCACGAATGCACACACACTTTTTGAAAACGAACRATGAAACAAAAKATGTGAAGCTCAAAGTTTTTCTCTCTGGCTGGACAGACCCATTCAGATGAATCACTCACTTTGCCTAAAAAGAYCCATCTCTGCCTTTATGTTTTTATTGATGCATTAGGAGTCCTGCATGCACGCTGCATTCAGAGCCGATCGTATACGATCGTTCCTGTCAATCGCCTGTCTGTGCTGCGCGTTGTTGTAAAAAGCTGCAGCAGCGTGAGATGAGACAACCCATGACAACCCCAGCTCAGACCAAACCTTTCCACCTGTTGTGTGCACAAATTGTTTTTATTATAGTTTGAAAAATCTCTGTTCTCACAAGGATACACTGTGCATGCGGCACATCACCTGCAAACAGCTGGATCAGCCGTCAGAGCGATGATGAAGGGATAACCCGGCTATTTTTAAAGCAGGGTTGCAGGTCAAAATTTATAAGAAAGACTTCACAGGATGTTAGTGCTTGGAGTAAGTTGTTTTTTAATGGGGACAGTTATATTATTTTTTCCTTCTTCTTTTAGCCCCTGTTTCGTTAAATAATTGATTTACTTTTATGTTTTTAATGGTCTCTGTTGTTTTAMTTAAATACATGCATGCATGCATACATACATGCATACAGCTACTTCTACCAGTCTACTTCTGAAGCGTCACGCAGCAACCCCAGCTGCAAATGTCTCTTTTTATATTCCCATGGAATTCAGGGATTAAAATGACAGTATTTTTTTTAAATGGCATGGGTTTTATGAGGGGGTCCCTGGAAATTTTCCACTCTTGTAAGGGGTCCCCAGACCCAAAATGTTTTAGAACTCCTTYCATATGACCTATAGAAWACTCACACCWAGTGTTTACTTATGTAGGTAAAAGTCTGTTTAACAACCTGTTAGAATACACCAGAAWRYARGAAATAGCATTTCCTTCATTCAAAATTTTRWGAGRRSMCCCMSASMCCCMCCA